CGCTGATTTGGAGCCTGGCGGGGCATCGCCTTTGCCACGTTTGCCCCTTTTCCCTCGGCTCCGGCCCCGGGTTGGGGGACGAGCCCGTGGAATTAGGATTCAAACGAGGATTCAGCTCTACGAGGCAGTAGTGTGAAGCGGCTTTGTGCTCGCGTCGTGTGCCAGCCGGGGGAGGGGGTCGCGGGGCGCAGAGTTTGGCCGAAGGGAGCGGCCCCCCTCCTGGGCTGCAGAATGCACCCGCGGGAGAGGCTCATCCCCCCCCCCCCCCCGATCGCCGGGCCGGAGGAAGAGGCTGGACCGGGGGGCACGGCCCGTCCTCCCGTGGAAAACATACAGCGGGTCGAGCTTCGCCTGAGTCCCCTCCCTCCGATCGCCTAGCGGGAAGTGAGGAGACAACCTGTTACTTTGTGTTCTGATCGTTTCAGACGGAAAGTAAAACAAGTAGGAGGTCAGTGCCCAGGGGTAAAGGGTGAAGGTAGTTCTGGCTCGCAGATGCGACCGAGGGATCTATACTCACCCGGTGAGGCCTGGGGGGAGGCGCGAGAATCAGACAGCAGGGGCAGTACTGGGGAGAAAGCAATGGGGTTTCCTCCTCTTGTTTGATATAGGGAACCCATGCAAACAAGTGAAGAGTTGGCCATTTTTCAAACTAGAGACACAGAATAGACAAAACCTGAGCCTAGCGGTCTGCTCGAAAGCTCTGGAGATGATCCCACCGCTCCGTGACAGTGAAGTTCGGATAATGGCTCGTTTTTGTTCTTACATTGTCTTGTTCTTCTAGGCTGTGAAGTTTAGCATACGCGCCAACAGTCGTACAGAGCGTCCAGTGTCAGAAATGTCACAGACACCAGGGTACGAGGAGCTCTGTGTTAACCTTCTCCGTCTGGCAGCTCCTTTCCTTTCCCCCCGAGTAATTATTTTTTGAACGATTCCTTTACGTTTTCTTTGCAATTTTCATACATACATGGATAGATCCCTAAGGAATGAACTTTTAATTTTGTTGATTTTTTTAAGAGAACCGCTTCACTGAGACTTACTTGGCCGACAATAATTGAAATATTGAAACAATAATGAAAATAAAATGTACACATCTATGCAAACCATTTTTTAATATTCAAAATTTTGTAGTAGGATCTTTAGCCCATAGTTTGTACGGAAAAGGTCTGATTTCTTTTCCTAGTGCTGTTCACTTTCTGTGGGTAATGACCCCAAAGTTGTTGTCAGGCTGCTCCCTTTCTGGGCTTCAAACAATTCTGTCTTAGCTTCCTTCCCCAGTGCCAGCTCCGCTGGCGTGCGACACTGCACCCAGCTTTATATCTTTACATTTGCTTATTAAAAACTGGAACCTCACAGCCATCTATGGTGCAGAAGTGGTTTTAAAACTTTGTAAGACTGGCTTTGTACAATTGTGTTAACCCTAAACACGGTTGGAACAGATATTGTTGCCAATTAAACAAAACTTCCTCTTCCTCACTTTCCAGTGAGTTCAACTCTGTTCATACAACTGACTTCACATTTCCCTTGATTCAAGCTACCTTCACCACCACCCCACCCCCAGCACTACAACCATCCAGCCTACTGTTATTGCCTCCCATCCTGGGAATTAAGCCAGTGGAAGGACTGGCCACTTTTTTTTTCAAGTGTCTAGAACAGTACCCAGCATGTATTAAGTGCTAAATAAACACAGGGATCTCGTTACTATCCTCCAGTGTACCTATGCACCATCCATCATCCTTCCAAGTATTCATATAAATTTTGTTGTTTTGGTGCCAGTCCTAGGGCATAAAATAGGGCCTCAAACTCTTCTTAGCTTTTTTTTTCATTCAAGGCTGGTGCTCAACCACTTGGGCCACAGCTCCACTTCCAGCTTTCTGGTGGTGAGAGGAATCTCACCAACCATTCGGCCCTGACTGCTTTCTAACTGCAGTCTTCAGAGCTCAGCCCCTGGGTAGCTAGGATTATAGGCATGAGCCACTAAGACCTGGCAGACTACTTCTAACATCTCATTTAGTATAAACTCATCAATGAATGGGTAATCCACTGATAAGGTATGATCCTAGCACTACTGCCACCAGAGTGAGGCCAAAGCCTTTAACACGAAGCTTTTGGGGGTACATTTTATATTTAGTCCATAGCCATACAGATGACAAGTTTCTTCACTAGAAGCAGTTTCTGGTTTCTACAATTTTTATAAGACATGCATCTCTTAACATTGTTATATATCATGCAAGCTTTAGAGGAACTGAGTATTTCTATTTCAGTTTAGCTCTTCAAAGGTATCTACCTGTACAGTAATCAGAGCTGGAAGGTAGAGGTACTATCTCCCTCAGAAGCACAGGCAAGTATATTTGCTTTCCAGTTTAATGATTTACAATGGGAAATCAAACATGCCGCTTGCTTACTTTAAGGTTCCAAAAGCTCCTTATAAATGATTAAGATTTCCAAAACTAGGCTGTGAATGGGGCTTAGTGGTAGAGTGCTTGCCTAACGTGCATGAAGCCCTGTGGTTCAATTCTTCAGTAACACATAAACAAAAAAAGCTGGAAGTGGTGCTGTGACTCAACTGGTAGAGTGCTAGCCTTGAGCAAAAGAAGCTCAGGGACAGTGCCAGGCCCTGAGTTCAAGCCCCTGGAGTGGCAAAAATAAAAATAAAAAATTCCAAAACTTTGGGTTCTTCTGTAATGCGACCCAAATGTCTGTGTAGGCGCTTCTTCCGGCTGAGATTTGGTCCTGAGAAACCTAGTACAAAATACTCTGGCTATTGCGATTACTATGCACAACCAACTTTTATTTTTGACTGATGTCTTAGCAGTGGACAGCCTAGCTTCCTAGCTTTGAAAGCAGGGTAAAATCTTCAGTCACTTTTATAATCAACACCTTCAGCCTCAGATGAAGCAGCGCCCAGGTTTCACTGGCATCTGGAGTCAGTGGCACAATGTCAAAGCCCAGGTAATTAATTTCCCCTTAAGCAAACTAAGTCCATTCTGTTTCTGAGAAAGGTCTTTCCAGCCTGTCCAGAGATGGTCTCATGAGGCTCTAGGACTCTGTCGCTTTGTGAAATAAGGTAGTGTGTACGTGAAGAGGAAGCAGGGGTCCTGAGAGTATGAAAGCTGGAGATGAGGAAGACAGAGCATCAATGACCAGCCATTGAGCCTGGAGACAGAAGTCAGGGGGGAAAAATGGTACATTTTCTACCCATCCCATGGTTCACTGTTCCAACACACTGGCTGCTTTGCCACTGGCTACTCACAGCTGTGGGGGACCCAGGTCTCTTGCTGTTCTATAGCAATTGACACACATTTTCAACATCTTAAGCTGTTTTCCTGTAGGGAAGGTGGCACCGTGTGATGACTGGACGGTCAATGGGAAAAAAAAAAAAACTGTCACCACCATTGAGAGGTGAACCGGGGGATGCTAGATGGCAGATTAAAACAGGAAGCCAAAATGAAAGAAGGATTTATTGCTTGCTATAGTACAAGCAAGATGCTTATCCAGAGAAAGCACCAACTGTCCATTTTCTCAGTTGAGGTAGCTCTGTAAAGGCTCCTGTAATTTTGTGGATAGTATATGGTTTAGATCTAAAATGTCCCCCAAAAGCTCATGTGTCAAAAGGCTTGGACCCCAAGGCAGCAATGTGCAGAAATAGAGCTTTTAAGAAGGGACTGACGCCAGGTGCTGGTGGCTCATGCCTGTAATTCTAGCTACCCAGGAGGCTGAGATCTGAGGATCATGGTTCAAAGCCAGCCCGGGCAGGAAAGCCCGTGAGACTCTTGTCTCCAATAAACCACCAGAAAACCTGAAGTGGAGCTGTGGCTCAAGCTGAAGAGCTGAGGGACAGCACCCAGGCCCAGAGTTCAAGCCCCACAACCCCCCCCCAAAAAAAAGGGACTGATTCAGATACCTCTAGCCTCATCAACAGATCAACCCACTGATGATTCATAATCTGATATGCTATTGGGAGGTGACAGAAATATAAGGGTGGGCCTTGGGTGAAAGGAGCAGGTCCTTAAAGATGTCCTTGGGGACTCCATTTGTTCCCCTAACTGCTTCCCTCCCCACAAAAAAAAAAAAAAAACCCGTAACAGTGCTAAGTGACCATGGCCTGAAACCATGAGCCGTAAAGTTATTTTTCTCAGGTATTTCGTTGCAGCAACAGGAAAGTGACTTAAAAACACAAGAAAAAGAGAAGGAAGGGATAGAAGCAGGAAAAAAAATACTAAGTCGGAGTAAAGTATCTCCAAGGCCTTCTCCTACCTCAGGTCTCAGCAGAGGTTCCTAAAGTGAACCCAGAGGATCTAAACACTTGTCCTGGTCCTGGAAATCTTTTTCTATTGTTTGCCTTTGTGGTTACTTTTGTTACTTAACAAAATTAAACATCAATTTTATTCCTTGTTCGATTCCAACAAAAAGTACAATGGACTCGAATGAAACGAAGTGCAAGCAGTTAATATAAAGTCCGACTCAAAGGGAATAGTCATGTTACTGACTTTCTATAAGCAAACAAAAACAGGCAAAGCAAAGGTTCAAAAGTATACGTGGCTTATTTGTGGTTATCACTAAAATAGAAACAACCAAGCAAAAATTGTTTCATAGCAATTGGCAAACTTTAATATTCAAGAAAAATGAAGTCCATCATACACATTAAAAAAGTAGGAAAGTTCATGCAGACATGAAGCTTCCAATTCAGCCTTTCGGCAACTGCTCAAATGCGTATTACATATAAATACAGTGCACAGTACAGTTCCCAAACCTCATCATCCCACACTGTGATTTATACAGCTTGTTTGTAGATTTTCTGAGCCCCCCCCCCCGCTTGCTTCATAGGATCTTAAATCTGCACCACTTCAGAATATAGAAATTAAAAGAGGCAAGCACAATGATCACTTTATGAAAACATGAGCATGTGTACAGAGCTGTTTTAAGAAAAATGAAAAACTTTAAGGCTTATACATTTTAGTAGCTAGGACTGAACTTAATACAATCTTCCAGTGACATGTCTATTACTGAAACCACATCGTCAAGTTATAAATGCAAAAGTTACTCAGAGAAAAGGTGAGGCAAATTTGTATAGGACATGTAAAGATGGGAGGGAGAAATTATAAACCAATGAGATAAGTGATTTCAGAGTTAACTAAATATACACAACTTAGAAGTACCTGGAACATTTAAAAAAACAAACACCAGTGTTAAGCTGTTTTTGCCTTTACGAAGAAAATATCTGTTTGGATATAGGTTGTAAAAAAAATGCTAATCTGATTGAAAAGCATTTCTAAATTACTCAGAAACAGCATGCATTCCCTGCCTTTCAATGAATATATTTTTAAGTATTTCTATTTATTTTAGGCTTTTTTTCCTTGAAAAAAAAAATAAATGGGGGCGGGGTATGTCCTCCCGTGCAATTTTCATTTCGTTCAGAGTAGTAATGAGAATTCCCACCAAATGAACTTTGCCAGGAACGAAAAGGGACAAAAACCAAGCCAGAGTGAAAAAGGAAAAGCAACAGTGACAGAGGTTGCAAGGTTCTCTACCTAACCTGAGGTCAGGTCACTCTCATGGAGCGCTCCACTGCGTACCGGGAGTAAGGAAAGGTCGCAAAGGCCCTTCAAGTGCACGCTCCTTTCTCAACTAGAAAGATTCCAATCCCGCAGTGAGTCCCAGAATCAACAACAGAGGGCATAAAACGTGTGAGTAAACATCCCTACTAAAATGTAACACACTACTAGCACATTATTAAGATTGTCCATCTGATCCAAATTGCCACCAAAGTTTCTTAAAGCAATCACAATTATCTGTGAAAATATTCAACATGATCTTTTCTCCAAGAAAAGGTTAAATTATTAGTAATCTCTTGCTTTCCAAGCTACTGGAAACAGTAACAAACTCAAAAACAAATTTAAAAACAAAACAAGAAAACCTCCCTCAAATAAAGATCTGCTAGAGGTAGAAATTTAAAGCAGCATACACATTGTTTAAACTCCATCTGTCAGGGAACAAAACTGATGTTAATCTGAAATTACATGAATGGCTGCTGTTCACTGTATTGGACATAAACCATGGCAGTAATTCATCCCTGAATTTCATATTCAAAATTCTCCACAGTAATACCATTATGACTGTTTTTATTAGATAACTGTTTAAAACTAAAAAAAGTGCTTGCTTTCATAATCCAGATCTTTTTTAAAAAAGACATTATTGTAAACATGATACTGACAATCAATCATTTCAGTTTTGAAATCGTGAATTTCAAATGGGCAGATTTTTGTCCTTGTTATTCTGGTTTCCTAGCACTACTTGGAAAAAAGGCTTTTGCACCTTGCTTAGAATGCTGAGATCTCACACATTTCAAAATGGTCCATGGTAAGTATGCTTCCACAAAGTGTTCAGTTTTAGTGTGGCTAAACTTCATTTCTCAGTTACCTGAGTATATTTTCCTGACCTGAATGTATTTTACAAGTAAAATTAGCATTTCATAAAAGTGAAATGAAATGTTTGATGCATCTCTAAATTCAACTGAGCTAGAAAAAAAGTTAACTAATTTGAATGGATGATCAAAGAGTGGAAACACATTTTATGTATAGATTGCTTAGGTCCAATGTGAACTAAAGTCCCAATTCCAGATGTTGAGTGTGACGGAGGATCCTTAGACTCTTCTAAAAATATCGAGTGCAATGCATACAAAATAATAATAAAAAAAAGTAGATTATAGACTTCAATACTATCAGTCATTAATACGGCAGACTTGCAAGAGACAGCTTCATGAAGACATTGGAGTTTAGGGTTTTTCCCTACTTAAAAGACAATTATGGGCTTCAAGGAAAAGTGTCCTTGAAGACATTTCCTCCATTTTTACTTGTGTAGTACAAATCTGCATGGCATAGTATATTTCTGAAAAAAGCAATAGACATTATTAAGAAAATAGACACTATTTCTAAATCTTGTAAGGAATAAGAAGGCACCGCTGATTTGAGGTTGTGTCCTGTCATCACTGATAGTTGATTTTCATTGTTTATTTCAGCATTTATTCTTTCTAAAGACCTTTACTGTGGTTTACGGACCACAAACAGGACACATTCATAGTAGTATTTCATCATAGAGAGATCATTCACAGTATATGTTGATAACACAGATTCTTTTTCCACCTGCAATGCAAACAAAAACCATCATGATGAAGATTGCAACGACAATACCACCAGCAAATACCGAGCCAGTTATAAGTGGCAAGCGCCACCGTAAGTGCACCGCTTACTACAAACTGCCCCCATGAGACTGGTCCCATCAGTAATCACGCCATAAAAAGAATATCTTAATCTGTTCAAGGTTACCACCAATACATGGTACTTCTAAACTGATTAACAACTGAAATACAATAGCAAGATTGTCATAAACCCTTATTTAACATACATGATTAAAATGAAAGAAAGTAGAGAATTCTATTCCTTTTACACAGGGACACTCCCTTTCCACTCCTCCAGAGCCTTGTCTGTGCATACCTATTAGTTACAGCTTATCAAGGCCAATATTATAATGACAAACCAGTATTTATAGAAAGCCTTCTTCACCAGCAATTATTATTTTCCTTGATATATATTTTCCCATCTTTATAATTTGGAAAACTAGGTACATAAACTAGCCTTACTTTATGAACGAGAAAATAAGAGACTTTAAAAACCAAAGCCAGAACATGTCCTATCTACATTCTTTAAATACTTTGAAAGTTAAAACTTGGGCCACATCTCATTCCATCCTTACCTCTAGCTGGAATCCATATTGCAGAACAACATTTTTTATATCCTCATAGCTCAATTCTATAGAAAGTTCATTTGCCAAGTTTTCAAAATGGTACAGTAGAGGACCTACGGTTTAAAGATACATCGATGAATTACTTGAACACAGTAAGCAAGTACTAGTAGCTATGTTAGACTGAATTCCAAGTTAATTAAATTGAACAGTGGATGATACAAAAATGAACAAGTGAAGAACCATACATCTGCTGAATGATCCAGACCTCTGATACTGGCCCAGAAATGTCTGCAAGCTGCGCTTACACTCAAGGGGAATAAATCCCTATATATACCTGTCCCGCATCTGTAACTCTTCAGTTACTGAGAGAGTAGCTGAATCAGAGAATGTTAAGTCCCCAAATTCCAAAGGCATACACTAATATAGCTCTATAAGCAAATGCAAAACTGCAGTTACAAACTAGTGATTGCATGAAACAGAAGGACCTCACGCTAGCCTGGATGAGAAGGTACAGATAAGCTGAAAGAAAGGCTTCCAAGAAGGAGGGGACTTAAGCATGGAATTTGTGCAGTGTTTATGCTTCAGATAACTCAGCTACAAACTCCTAATTGTGCCACAAATGGTTTCATGTGTATCTTGGCCTTAATGTGGAAAATAATCTGAGATTAAAAAAAAATTATTCCTCTAACTTATGTTAAGGATTCTATTTGTGAAATGTTAACTTTCCAAGTATTTTTAATGAGTACTATGCATAATCCTTAAAGAGTAACTGGTCAAGAAACCCAGATGCTGATGCAGAAGTCTATTTGCTGGTGAAAATATGGAGAAGTAAAAGGGGTATGGAAAGAGCTGAGGACAAGATCCTACTACAGTAATCCTAATCCAAATGAACAATGAAGTTCAAGCAACTTTTCCCCATCCAGGGGCATCTTCCATTGTTTAGGGACAATTTTAGTTGATATAACTAGGACTGAAATCTGGTAGGAAGAAGCCAGGGATGCTGGTACCAGCTGGTAGGTATGGAAAGACACCATTAATCCTGCCTCACATATTGGTAGTGTAAACAGTTAAGAAACTTTGGGATACAGACTTAGAAACCACTCCAGAGCTATTGAAGATTGAAGTTTCATTGATTCACAACACTGATACCAGTATTCAGGATCATGGTTTGAGACCAGCCTAGGCAAAAAGTTAGCTAACACCCCATCTTATCATTGGACATGGTAGGATGTCCATATCCCAGCTACGCAAGCGAAGGTAGAAAGATGATGATCCGGGGCCAGCCAGAGAAAATACAAGACCTCATCTGAGAAAGGAAGCAAAAGACCGGAGAGATGGCTCACGTTTTAGAGCACTTTTGCCCAGCATGTGCAAGGCCATGATCTCAAACTGCAAGACCCTCCCCGCAACCACAGATTCAACGGTTAGAAAGACTGGATGCAGACGAGAGGGTGACATGGCTGAGTCCTGCTGCCCTTTCCCTTTCACAGCTCCTACTAGTCCTAGTCCTCAATATAGCTGCATTGGAAGGTTGGGACAGTAAGGAGGTAGTTAGAGGTGGTTCTAAGAGCGGGACCCAGTACATTTAGTGTCCTCCTAAGAGACAGCGGAGAGTTGGCTGCAGTTGTTTGGTTTTGTGGGGGATTTGTTTTAGTCATTTGAGGTTGGGAGTATGCTCTCTTGCCTCCTATTCTCCACCCCCATACCCAGATCAATAACAGCTGTGCGCAACTCACCAGGAAAGCCTTACCACACATCAACAGGGAAGTGAGGTTGATTTTTAAGAGAACATTTTTTTTATAGCATCCATGAATAGTCCAGGGTGGCCTTGTGATAATTCCGTAGATACGTGTGCTTTCAGAAAATTCACCCCGTCCATAATCCCCATACGTCTCCTTCCTAAGTAGTTTTGAGTCTTACTATGCTAGCTTCATATAAAGATATGTAATATACTTCAATCTTCGATCCCTTTAACCCCACCCACTTTGCCAACCAGGAAATCCCCCTTTTTCATTCATATCCCACCCAGCTGACACTTTACCTCCAGCCCCCAGGACGGTGAGGGAGTACACTTCTTTGGTTTAAACTAGCCAATCTGGTATCCTGTTGTAGCACCTTTGCTAACTAATAAAAAGGTGAAGGAGTTCTCCCAGTAGGTCAGCTGAGATAATCCAAGCAGACCATGGAACAGAAAGGGTATCAGGAAATTAAAGTCATCATTTTCTTCAGACATACAGACTTTAAACGCTGTCCTAAACTCAAGTAAGACATGCTTAGGACGCAAAAGATACCTGGATCAGAGATTCAGATAGAGAATTGAAAAAAATAGTGACAGCCACGTTAACTGGTTAACAGGAAAGACTTAAGTACATGGCATTTAAAAAAAAAAAAAAAAAACAAGATACCAGTACTGAAGAAAAATTTTGGATTCTGAGATTTTTTTGGAGAATATTTCTCTAACTTACGTTAAGGATTCTATTTGTGAAATGTTAACTTTCCAAGTGTTTTTAATGAGTATGCTGTTTCCATTGTTCTAAGTCTCAAAATTAGTTTGAGATATTCCCATATCCCAGTTCTTAGGATTGTAGCTGCTCTTAACTGGTCCTATGCAATTCTGAAGTCAGGAAGACTACTACTTAGTCCAGGTGGTAAAATCTCTCTGGAAAAATAATGCAGTTTAAAAGTCAGCAAGATGCTACTGATGGCTCATGCTTGTAATCGTAGCTACATAATGGCTGAGATCTAAAGATTTTGGTTTGAAGGGAGGAAAGCCCATGAGACTCTTATCTCCAATTAACCACCAAACAGCTGGAAATAAAGTTGGAACTCAGTGTACAGCAGTTACCTCTGAGTGAAAAGGCCAAGCAAAAGTGCAAGGCTGTGAGTTCAAGTCCCAGTACCAGCACCAAAAACAAAACAAAACAAACAATAAAAAAACAGGTGACAGAATGTCAACAATAAAACTAGATCTAAGCTGAAAGCCAAGAATTCAAAATCATGTGTCTGTGTCTGTCCTATAACACTCTATAAACTTCACTTTGAAAGCCTTTAGTCTACCATAATGTCTTTCTCAACAGTTTATAGATCTCACTATAGTCAAGACACTTACACTGAGATTCCATTACACTCTTTGTTTTAGAAAGAGAAGTAGTAATTCTTACAGATTCCAGTTGGGTTATCATGTCATACTCATCATTAATTTTTAATCAGCAAGCAATAAGATATAGCACACGTTTTTTGCATAAATTGAATTTCTACTTGTTCTCAAGCTCCAGATAGAAAAGTAACACAGATGTTATTAGGGAGGAGGCTTCCATTGGAAAGCTCAAACTTCTCCTCCAAATGCTTCAATAAATAAAACAAATGACTTGGGTTTCTACTTTTTGGAGATACTGACTCTAGGATGTTGTCTGAAAGAAAATATAGAGGTTTTTAAACATGTATGACTCATGTAAGATTCATGAACATATGGAATTGTGAACTCACCAAATGTAAAAACTGCTGTAAGTACTCAGATTAATGTATAAAAGTTTGTAATAAACACTGAAGCACTCACCAAGATTTATCCATATTCCACCGGGCTTGAGTATTTTCCATATTGTGTCAATATAATCAATTACATTATGAGCTGTGTCTATGAAGAAACAGGTGGCAATACAGTCCCAAGTATCTAATAAAAAAATAAAATAAAATCACTGTCTTTTTTCTTTTTCCTTTAGTTAATGCCTTAAATTTGGTTATTTCTTATAAAATCATGGTATTTTATTTAACTACAGGGTCACAGAAGCTACCACCCTTTTATCAGCATAATAATTAATGTAACCAAATAATCATTTATGGGAGGTAATTCTGTAGTTCATAGTGAAGGTTTTATCAATGAGCTAATAAAAAGCACTCAGATGATTAGATAGATATTAGATATTTTTAAGAGCGTTAACATCCACTTAGCTTCCAGCCTTAGTCTATTTTGTGTGGATGTGTGTGTGTGCTGCTACACAGGCCACACTCTGAGCTAGGCTCACATCCTCTAGCCTTCACTAATATCTATTAGATTAAAAAAGATATTTGAATTTTTAAATTCTGATTTAATCCAGAGCTAACCACGGATTTTGGCAGACTCCAGAAACAATGTAGGTATTCATGGCCAATTTGAGAAATGAATGACATCAAGAGACCTGAACACCCACCCTCGACAACTTGGGATAATCTCCAGGGACCAAGGGGCCAGGAGCACACAGAAGCAGGATACGGGCACCTAGTGAAGGCTGTGGCTGGGCGGAGGGATAGGGGACAGGACTGGGGGCACCAGATTCCACCAAGGCTTCCTACACCCTCTACTTCCTTACTTTATCCAGCATGTACACTCTTCAGTCTGTCTCCAAGTACAGAGGACCAGTTGCCCTAATCTTTTTGGTGGTGGTGGTCCTGGGGCCTGAACTCTGGGCCTGGGCGCTGTCCCTCAGCTCTTCAGCTCAAGGCTAGTGCCCTACCACTTGAGCCACAGCGCCTCTTCCAGCTTTTTCTGCTTATGTGATGCTGAGGAATCGAACCCAGGGCCTCATGCATGCAAGGCAGGCACTCTACCACTGAGCCACCTTCCCATCCCAGCATTCTACCACTTTTGAGCCAAAGTGTCACTTCCAGTTTTTGAGTGGTTAATTGGAGGTAAGAGTCCCGTGGGGATTTTTTTTTACCCAGGCTGGCTTCGAACCACAATCCTTAGAGCTCAGCCTCTTGAGTAGCTAGGATTACTGGAGTGAGCCACTGGTATCTGGCAAGGTTGCCCTAATCTTAAGAATTCAGGGGAAAATATAATCTATATATCAAGATAACTATATATATATATATAAATATATATATCTACATATCAATATAGCTCAAGTGGTAGAGGGCCCACATAGCAAGCTGAGCTTTTGAAAGTACAGTACAGAGAAAATTAACTATATAAAATCTTTCTAAATGGTCACCCCTGCTCTAAACCCTCTCTCCAAGAGCTTCTCGGCTCCACCTTGGCTGTGGCCTCCAAGTCTGTTCACCAATGCTCTCTGCTTTCTGATCTCCCCATCTTGCCTTCTACTTCCTACAGAACAAGCAGTCTTGCCACCATTTCCCTAGTCGGTCCCACTGACGGTAACATTTTTCCCCAAGTCCGTCAATGCCTTGACTTCTTGCCTTCTCAAGTCATGGCATGCTTCTTTCCGTGTCTGCTCTTAACTGCCCTTCCCTGATAACTCTATGCAGTAGTCCCTCCCAAGCTGCCCTTTATCCCAGTTCCCAACTTTCTTTTCCTGCATATTATTGTAATTGTTATTGTTTCTCTCCCCTTCCTAGAGTTTTAAATATCCTGTGGATAGGGACTTTTCTGCTTAGTCTGGCTTCCAATGCCAAGAAGAACACAACTGCTATTTGGTAGACACTCAACAAGTATTGTTACAGAATGACCTTGAAGACTCCAGCATTCTGGCTCTCTATTCTGTCAGCCCTTCCCCTCTCATTTCCCACAGCTACTTCCCTTTTCTAATACCTAGACAAAAATCCAACTCAATTGGACTATAAATGTCTTCTACAATCCCTATCAAACAACATACTTTCTAGTCATATTTCCCATTAGATCTCTTCCCACACCAGTCCAGATGTACTGTTGTCCCTGATTACCTTATTCTTTATCTTTGTACCTCTGCTGATCTCAAATACTGTCTTCTTATCCTTCAAGGCACAGAGCTCCCTTCTCATACTAGCTTACCTCCACATTTATTACAATCATTATACGCCTGAGACTTGCTGTCATGTTGTCTCACATTAACAGACGCAGCAGCTTCTACATTTAACTGAAGATATTTCCCATCAGTGTCTTACACAAGACCCTGGAAATACTCCGAAGTGTCCCTGCTGTCCATTATATTCTACCACTAGTGAATGACCAAACCATTGGCTCATAAAGCTTAAAGGACAAGACCTTTCAAAGGCTTACTCGGAACTTACTGCATTCTGAATAAATCTCCTGAAAATCTCCTGCTGTCATAGAAAAGTTAGAACCAGGAGGAAGACTGTGGGGATCAACGTCAGGGAAAAAGATGGGGCGAATCTGATCAGCTGATCTCCGGTTATTGCTAAATTGATGGATCCAGGGATAAAGTTTATATTTATTAATTTCAGAGCATCTGTAAAATATGAGCATATTAAGTCAGTGTTAACTAAAGATTTAACCAAGGAAATGAACCTTAAAAACTGCAATACAATTTGTTTGATTGAAGGCTTGCATACATGATTTGTTAGAACAGTACCAACACTATATACCCCACTAAGTTATCTGAAAATGTACATAAACATGTAGATGGAGCAACCAATCATGGATTAAGACAGAAAAAAATTAAAGTCAGATATAAATGCGTTATTTATTCAAATTTATAAAAATGCATTTTTAAATTTCAAAATCAAGAAAAACATACTACTAAAAAATACTGGCTTTATGTACAAGTTTACCTTCTACTTAGCTACTTTGTACAACCCTCTTCTCCCTTCCTACTAACCCCCTAAAACTCACACTGCCACCTGAGACAAAATATTATTTACACAGGCAGCTACTTGTTCTGTTCTTCTGACTTTAAAAATAGATAACTTGTTCTACTACCTTTTCTGATAGAGGCCACAGAAGTTCTGAGATCCTTCCAACTCAAGTCATGTGAGTATACTTGGCCATTTAATATGAACTCCATTAAGGAAAAGAGTTATGACGCTATCCTGAACTCTTATTCCACTAAAGAAACGAAAGGATGAAGAAGTTTGAGGACCGATGAGAAAATACTCTGTCCTATGTCACAGTTTCATTAGTCCTGTGGTTCTGTACTGAAAGCATTTCGGTTTCACAGAATGCTCACTTTCAACATTCTCTTCATTAGGCAGTACTGGTTAAAGTGGTCATTTGTATACGTTTAACATAAATAGGATCCATATATGTCATGCTCAAGTATTACATACTTCTCTTCAAATTCATAATTGTTCAAAAATAAATCAACCTGATTGTGAGATATTACTATTTCCAGCAAAAAATAAAAGAAATACCTGTTGAGTACAAAGTTGGAAGAAAAGAGCATAAAAAAACTCCATTCATTTCCTTGACAAGCATAACCTAGCATAGCTATTTCCCAGGCCAGTCTTCCTAGTCCAGCACCAGGTACCAGAATAGTTACTTTAGAAGGAACCCTGAAATGAAATAAGGCAATTATGTCCAACCCCTCAAAGGAAAAAAAAAAAGGCAAAATCCACATTAACAACTAAAAGCTCAATTAATCAATAATAAGTTCACTAGGACTCTGGTTTCATAAAAATTGAGATACACTTCTCCTAAGTATGAATTTTTTTTAAAGAATAAGGAATTATCATGTACTCGGATATTAGATGACATTTTATTCCCCCTCAATTTTTTTTTTTCTCCAAAAGGAGTTACTTTCCTTGTGAAAGCTCAGGAGATCAACCCATACGCCTTCCATGAGGCTTCGGACAGCTGTCTTAAATTATCCCCAAGTGATCCCAACTGCGTGAGAAATTTGAACAGCATTCTTCCATCATGATATAAAGCTATTTTACTTCTAAGCTTTAAGGATAATAAAATAACATAACCAGAAGAGATTAAATATATTTAGATTTCTAGATGTCAGGTCGATAGACATCTAAAACTGTATTCAGGAAGGGCATGCATTTATGAGGAAAATGGTCAACTGCCTTTTATTTCTGTTTTCTCTTTTTTTTCTCTCCTCAATTTTTGCTTTGCTGTTCTGTGTCAGAGCCTTCCTAGTGCGAGAACAGAACTGCCTGCTCATTGAGCATTTATGACACAAACTAACTCAGAGATTCACAACTACATTCATCTCCATGTAGTGGCACCACCTTGCTCTTGTATTTTCCCTTGGCAATATTCCTTCAACCTGAAGGAAAAAGGGGGGTGGGGTGGGGGATGCCTTAGTAAAACGATCTTTACTTTTTCCTTCTTTCTTTTTATTTTTTTTCCTTTTTGCTATACTGGGGTTTGAACTAAGCTCAAGAATTTGGGCAAGAAAAGTAATCTTGAGAATAGTAAAATAATATTCTTCTAGAAAAGGGTCTAATCAGCTGGCATCATACCAATTAAAAAGGAATTTCACAGCAAGGAACTTGTGGCTCTCACTTGTAATCCTAGTTACTTAGAAGGCTAACATGGCAGTTTGGAGGTTTGAAGCTTGCACAGGTAAGAAAAGGCTGTGAGATTCCATCTCCAATTAACCAGCAAAATGGTGGACTGGAAGTGTCATGAAAAGCACCAGCCATAAACAACACAAGTAAGTGAATGTGAGGCCCTGAATTCAACCTGACAGAAGTGAATGTGCAAATGCACACACACACACACACACATACACACACACACAGAATTTTACTGTATTCCCTAATGTGTTAGCACTCAAATCTAATTTAAAAACTTACTATTTTGTACAATTCCATCTTTTAAACTATTATGAGCTTTAAAACTGGCAGGCTCAAACAGTACAAGAGCATTCTCTACTAATAGGCTATATGATAACATGTGCATTATCGACTTTGAAATGAAAGAGATATAAACAGCTCTCTGGGGCTTTAGGAAATTTCCATGGTATTGTACAGTACCATAAATACATTGAAAGTATGTTTCTATAAATATATATATATATATATATGTATATATACACACACACACTTCACTGTTGGATTTTATATAGAAAAAAACCAAAAGCTTGTTAAACATGACTTCTGACAAAAAGATCACACTCACACACACACACACACTCCAGCCACAAAGGCAACCTACCCCAGGTCTCATTCTTACCTGTCACTTCCTACCAGACCCACTAAAAGTCCTATTCTCCATAATTAGAATTGTCTCCTTTTTCTGAGTTCCTGAATACTCTGTCAAAATATGGATTTTCATCCCCTACTCTTAAGCCTTTGAGTGGGTGATCACCACTAAATAAATAAAGGCTAGGGATATAGTTTGGTGATGGAAGAATTCTTCTCTGACATTTGCAAAGCAATTTGATCCCTGAACCACAATATAAAATTAAAATTAAAACAATGCAACTGCAAGGAAAAGATCTGAAAATAAATTCATAGAGTAATAAAAGTTAAAAGCCAGAATTGGAGTTAGTGCCAGCCATGAGGAGAAAAAGCCAAGCAAAAGACCTAGGATATGAATTTAAGCACCAGCACACACAGAAAAATAGCTACTAATCAATTTCTACATAGTTATTGACCAAGGTTAAAAAAAAAAGCTATCATACAGAAATTAACTTTAAAATCTTCTGCTAATAATGGCACCAATAATTTAATGAAAAGCTAATTTTATGACTATTGCAAAATTTTTCACAATCACAATCAACTAACTCTATATGCCCAATTTGAAATAAAAAATGTAATTGTACTATATACATGGCTGCTATTAAGAGGTTATTACCCAACCATGAAAGAATTAGCAGGCTAAAAGACCTTCAAATTACGTGCATAATTAACACAGTAAAAATATTACATATACATATATTTGAAAACAAAACATAACAAAGGGACTGAGAACATGGCTTAGTGGTAGAGTGCTTGCCTAGCATGCATGAAGCTCGGTTTCGATTCCTCAGCACTACATTAACAGAAAATACCAGAAGTAGCACTGTGGCTCAAGTGGTAGAGTGCTAGTCTTGAGCAAAAGAAGCTCAGGAACAGTGCTCAGGCCCCAGGACAAAAAAAAACAAAAACAAAAAACCAACAACAACAAAATTAACGTAATAAAAAGTTCCACTAAAAAAGTGTGTGTATATATAACACATATGAATCTAATACACACTACTATAAATTTATAAATCTTTAGGAAGTCTAGGACATTTCTATAAAGGTATTTCTGTGGAGCAGAGGAGGACTATAAACTTAAGGATAATAAGATGCCAGGCTGAAACATATAATGAAACATGTCTGACCTCTGCTGGTGGAACACACACACAAGTGGTTCTCTGAATCACAACCATTCTGTTCAATACAGCAAAACCACTAAAACACATGGCTACTGAAATACTTAAAGGTTATATGATATATGTTGTAAGTGTAAGATAAAACCAGACTAACTGGCTATACCAAGGAACTATACCATAAATAATTTTTATATTGATTACATGCTAAAATTATTTTAGACCTCTTGGGTTATTATAATTTGTTTGTTTTACTTATATGGCTACTCAAAAATTTTAGATTATATATGCACCTTGAATTTGTAAAATGTCATGTCCACAAATTCTGAACAGTGCTAGTCTATACACATAAATTGTAAAAATCATTATACCAAGCAGGGATTGGAGGAGTAGCTTAGAGTGCCCAGGGCTCACATCTCCAGTTTCAAATAAACAAAATGAGCCAAAATTTTTCATATTATACTCAAAACCATTAAACCTTAAAACTGTACAAAAGAGTATAATGTGTTTTTCAAGCATAGTTAACAAACCAATGCAATAATTGAATGACAAAGGTACTGCATGCTAGTGGTCATCTCCAAAGAACAGGGATTTACTCTCTGGTTTGCAGGACCATTTCAACTTCACCAGTAATGTTTCTTTTTAAAAAAAACAAATTTGAAGACAATTTGGCAAAATATCAAGATCAAACAGACCTAAGTGTTGACATCTTTATTAATCATCACTAAAACTAGATTGGTTATCAACGCAGTGTCTAGTGCTTTCAAACATATGGTCACAATTTCCCTCATCATTCTCTCCCAACAAAGAACTTACTTTTGGTAAGACAACTTCTCACTGATCTCAGAAGTGATTTCCTCATCTAAGTCTACAGGGCTTTTACAAACCCACAGAAACTCACTTTCAGTTATGACCTTATCAATATGAATCATCATCTTACCTATCTCTCTCAGGTGTCAAAAAACTTGGATTCACATCCCTATGCTTTCAGCCCTGCAATCATACACCTGATTATACCCCAAATTCTTTGCTTTGTCCAGAGTTGTTTCTGTAAATAAAAGTGCCAGGGGTACACACAGCCAAACCCATCTCTGCCTGGCCATCCAAGTTTTGGGCTTCATTCCCATAACAACCTAAGTAGTCCCCACAGAGATTTTACTACCTATATAGCACAAACCATTTACTACCTGGCAGTTCGATTTTTTTCCAAACCCTGATGGAATGGACTGTGACCTTCTTTCTACACCAGTTCCCAGAGCTTCCTGAATCATCCACTGCATAATGGCATTACAATTGACCAAAATCGCAGCTAAAGATATTTAATTATTTCTAATATTTTGCTACTACAATGTTAAAATTAATGCCTTTCACGTGAACAGTTTCCACATACAGAAGTGCATCTGCAGAAGTTTCCTTAAAACTGAACTATTTGGAATCAAGTATATATGCATTTATATTTTGACAAGCATAGCAAAACAATTCATTCACCAGCAATATACTTCCTTTCATCCTAATAGTTCAAATTAAATGACATCTTTATGAAGTTTTATATTTACATTATCTTGTGAGATTAACAGTCTTGTTTTTCTTTTCTATGAACTATTTATGCCATTCTTTACTACTGGGTCATTAATTGTGTCTTGATTTTATCATTGCATTATCACTCTAGATTTATGAACACTTGAAATTTTGATTTGAAAAAAATCTGTACTACATATCTGTCTTTGGTGTAAGAGAGCATTTGGAATGAGGGAGAAATCTATTTTCAACCTCTAACATACTACAATTACTTGGCAGTTTACATTTCCTCCATTTTCCCATAAAATGAATTCCCTCAGCTAACAGAATCCTGTTATAAATTATAACTCTCATACTCAAATCACTCCAGATTCTTCTAATGAAATAGGCTAATGAAATTAAGATCTAAAATATTATAGTTTAATAGTTTTGAGGATAAGAAAATGTTATGTCAGTCAGGCCCAAACTGCATCTCTTTCCTTAGCAACTATATGGTTTACAGAATTAAATTCTTAACTTTAAATGATTAAACACCTGGAAAATAAAAATCTCAATACATATTACTCTACAATGTTCATTTTGATTCATTTAAATGGTGAGTTTGTGTTTTTTTGAAAGGTGGTCTGCTAAACTTCCATGTGCAGCTACTCAAAATCAATTTAAAACAAAAACCAGAGACTAGTAACTACTGAAGTGTTGAGACTTTCAGACAATTTAGATAGCATT